GTTCAGGTTGACGTATAACTAACTGGCCTGCAGAAGATAACGAAAAAAAAAAATCAGACAGATTTTAAGACAGGATTTTTTTAAAATAGAAATTTTCTAACTTTTGGGACAATGTGGTCTGATAAGGAGAACATTTATATACACGTTTAAGCCAGAATTATTTGAAATTTAAATATGACTTCCCTACAACTTTAAAATAAGATACCTAGATAATTTATGCACTTGAAATGAGATAATGGATTCTTTTTCTTATTTTAATGAAAATTGTCTCGTTCCATTGGCAAAGTGTCTCACCTATGGTAGCTGCTCAACTCAAGACAAAAATGCTCTTATTTTTAAGAAATATTGACTCACTTAGATTTTCAGTGTGTATTATGAACACTCATTATGAACCCCCCCCCAAAAAAATATTTGATAAGCCTTGTTGCCCCTCCAGAATCTCTGCTCCTAAAGCTAAAGGAGCTTTAAATGAAAAGTATGGAGAACCAAAGGGTCCGGTGTTTCTCACCTCCTCAGGCTTTACGTCTCTGCTGGTGAAATCCTTCACGCAGTCCATGAAGCAGTTCTCTGTTACTTTATTGTACGTCCCCAAAAACTCCTTGAACTAAAAGTAAAGCAGAAAAGAAAAAACACAGCAGTGAGGAAAAAGGCATCATTTTCCAAACATCCAGCCTGAGTTACTGGAAAACCAATAAGTTTAAAGTCAGAAATGAGTTTTTGATCCAGACCTTTCCATGGTCTCTGACAGGAGATTAATACATCTTCAGGGGTGTTTGACTGTTGACGTTTGTCTCTAGGCAGACGCATAAACCCAACACTTTTCCTTTGAGGTCAGGCCTGTGCAGAGTCGCCCCTTGAGGGCTGTTGGCCTGCAGGTTTTTAAGGTTTCTCATCTTCAGCACAGCTGATGGCTTTAGCTAAACTGGAAACATTAGTGTCAGCTGTGCTGAAGCTGAGAGACACTGATACCTGCAGGACGGGGCCCTCGAGGGCCGACTCTGGACTGGTCTGCTTTAGGCGCTTCTCATCTGCAACAACCATCTCTGGCTTCGCTCTAAGGAGGGTTTAAACTTCTGTTCTCATTTCTTTAGCCCACAGCGTCTCAGTGAGACCAGATCGTAGGCTTTGACTAGACCCAGGACTTCCTGTTGTTATTCTCATCAAGTGCCTGGAGGACTTACTGCTACATCCCAGTTCTGCTTCAGCCATTTCTACGGACAGTCTCACTTTCTCTTCAGTGAATTCAGGATGATCTAGCTAGTTCCTGCCACAGTAAAACTTCCCCAAACCTTCATACTTCCACCTCCATGCTTTCCAGGATGACGTTATGGTTTTGTTTGGGTGAATGAGTCATTTGTCACCCAGGTCATAGTTATTCCAAAAAACTTAAAAAACAATCCATTGAACTTTGTTTCCAAGTTTGAAGACCTTTCTCTTCCCATTCAGGAAGCTTTGTCAATTCAAAATGTCAGAAATAGCATTGAATTTGAAGCTTTATAGAGTGGACCAAAACAAAGCCTGGTGTCTGCTTAGAAAACATGCAAACTGAAACAGAAGGGGTCCACCCCTTTGGAATCGGGGACATTGGGTTCTTTGTCAACCTGCAATGCCCGATACTGGTCTCTGGCTCTAAAAAGGGAGTCGTTAGAGGCATTGCTGGCCTGGCTGACCAGGTGAGATGTTTTGGTCCCCTGAATGGGGGTGGGGGGTTGAGATGACAGTGGGAAGGAATCAACTATCACTGCATTGTAGGCTTTTGAAACCTGAGTGCCCCCCCTCTGTTTAATAGAGAGAAAAATATACCTTAAATGGAGGGTATAGATTTTCTACACTCTGATTAAAGATTAATCGATTACTAAATTAGTTGACAATTATTTCAATAATCAATTAATCCGATTAAATGTTTAAGCCCTAAAATCCAAACAAAACAGATGGAAACATCCTCCACCCCCAAGTCAACAACAGGCGTTAAAAATGCTTAAACGGTGAAATTTGGATGCTGGGTCAGATACTGGTTTGAATCTGCATGTCACGCATACGCTGTGACGCCCCAGAACACGGGCGCTGTGACGCCCCAGAACACGGGCGCTGTGACGCCCCAGAACACGGGCGCTGTGAACGCACCTTTACAGTCAGAGTTCACCAGCTGATAATCACCAAACAGCAGATGTCTTTTAATTTCAGGCAGTGGAGGTGGTCGTAACCATAGTAACCAGATGAAAGTTAGGAGAAGCTGATAAAGCCGGGCCGCTTACCTGTTTGATCTGGTCAGACTCGGTCACCTGGACGGCCATAATTCACACCCTGATGGAAGAACAGGACAACAGTCACACCTACAGCATCCATCCACCAAATGGATCAGAACCTGTTTGTGTAAACTCCCTAAGCAGGAGGGTTTCTGATCCAAACAGAGAAAGATCCAGTTAGGATCAAACCTAAAAGCCTCAGTAAAGCCATTGACTTACAAACCATGTAGTTGCTGTTTTCTATGTGATCAGATGATCATCAGCAGCCAGACAGACCAGTGTACGGTGTTCAGTCAGACTAGCATAGCTATAGTCAACACGCCTGCGCAAGACCTCAGATTTGCATTTAGCCCTTTAGTTTTGTATGAAAAATAGACTTTAGACTCAACCTCAACAGGCGTGTATCCCTTTAGTCATGTACAAAAAACTATTTAAAGGTCAGATCGCCATACCTTAAAAAAAAACAAACACCAAAAAGAAAGTAATTATTATTTTTTTATTTATTTTTTACATGACTAAAGGGATAAACGCCCATTGAGGTGGTTTACAGTCTACATTGAGCTAAAAGGCTGATTGGTACTGCAGCAGCATCATGGTCCAGCAGTTCAGACGTGTTTCATCAATAAATTAATATAAATATGATGAGTGAACAGTAACTTTACATCCAAAAACTTCCTCCTGTTTCCCTCTGAGCTTAACTTTGACTTTCTAATGGCAGATTTTGTTCTTTCATTCACCTTTAGAAGGTCTGAGTTATTTGGGTGAATAAATGTAGAGAAATCCGGGAGGTTCTCATTAGAGAACTACCCTGAGATTTTTTATTTTATTTACAGGAATATTAAAAACTATATATAATTTTTATTTCTTCAGTTTTATCGCCTGCTTCATTTCTCTACTTGAATTATCTCTGTGTGTCCAAAAATGTGCCAGAAGAAACTAGGATATCATATTTTAATCAAACTTGTCAGCAAATAGAAAACGCAGTAAGCTGCAGCTGATGGCGTCCAGAGGACAGCTGCTCATCAGAGCCACTGAGCTCCAGCCTCACACACCCGCACTGGCTGCTAGCGGAGCTAGCCTTAGCTTCACCAGGAGACCACTGCCGCAGGCAGCTGTCCGCGGCTAAGCTAATGACGGCTACCTGTGTGTCCACGCTGGGCCCACGCTGCTGCTGCTGTGGATGGCTGTCCGTGAGAAGCAAAAACCTTGAAGGGCGAAAAGACAAACGGCCGCAGGTTTTCTACAGAGACCCGAACACCTTCATTCCCAGTGAGCCGCGCTGCTTCCTGTGACGCAGTACGCCTCTGACCGCTGCTGCTACAAGGTTAGCACCGGACAGCTAACCAGGCTAATCACGAGGAGGATCTTCTTCTTCTTCTTCTTTGATATTTTTGGCAGTTGGCAAACAACAGATAGATGCATTTCCGCCATCTACTGGAATGGAGTGTGGACCAGAATTACTCTCAGGAATTAAATTCTATTATATAAATGTGTTATTTTTAGATATCGAAATACTATACTGTAAATATTACTATCTGAATAACTTCTGAATTATTGAAATAAATCTAATTTACCTTTTACTTTACTCAAATTTTGAATGAATTGCTTTCTCTCCTCCTCATATTTGTTACAGTATAACATCACGTGCTCAACTGTTTCATCTACCCCACAATATTCACATTTCCCATTCCTATGTTTTCCTAAAATAAACAGAGTACCATTTAATCCGGTATGACCAAACCTCAATCGAGAAATGATTGTTTCTTTTCTTCTTCTTTCTGTTCTTCTCATTTCTCCAATTTTCTTTTGAATTTTATAAAACCAATGTCCTTTATTTCCTTTCTCCCATTCG